TTTCCCCAAAGATAAAAGCCCCCCAAGACTACTGTCCTTTTACCCTTCCCCTGTACTTATTGTAGAGAAAAGACGCCATGGCGTTGTGCCCATGACTTTATTTGCCATCAAAAGACACAAGTCCCAATTACGCAACCGTTGCAACTCAACACTGGGGACGGATGTGGCGTCCCCCCCATCACTTCTTGGCTAGATTATTGGAAGGTTCCAAGACCCACTTATGTTGGTAAGTGCGTAGAACGGCCAGCGCAAGCGAAAAAAACCCCAAGGGCCAAAGGGAAAAAAAAAAAATAAAAGAGCCCCCAGGGGACCGGGGGGGTGGGGGGGGGGGTGTACTCATAGTCGTGCATGCCGTAGTCGTTAGACCATTGACCTCGCATCCCTACAAAGCCGGGACGGAGCACGCCGGGTTCTCACCGGACCAGGCTCGGGGTGGGGGTGGGGGGGGGTGTACTCATAGTCGTGCATGCCGTAGTCGTTTGACCATTGACCTCGCATCCCTACAAAGCCGGGACGGAGCACGCCGGGTTTTCACCGGACCAGGCTCTCACATCACCAACCGCGAAGCGCCGTGAGGTATTTGGCGAGTCGCATGAAGGGGGAGCTGCATCCTGCTAAGGGTGTTTGGCATCTTGTGCTTACTTCCTTGCGTACGGATGACAGCTACGTATGACTTAATTTATTTTCTGGTGCTTTCACTTCCAGAGACAGTTGTAAGCACTGTGTAACTGCCTCGAGGAAGCTTTACCATGTTAACACAACGTGGTGCGATCATCCCCCGTTGCGCGGAGTGAGGTTTCTCGACCCCGCACAACATGATCTACTCGACCACCATTATGGTTACCGCCAAAAAAAAAAACCGAGGTAAAAAAAAAAAAACGGTAACCTGGTTGCCGAGTTCACGAAGTGGAATTGGCTTGTTTTACAACGTCGTTGCCAAGCGAGGAAAACCCAATCCCGATGGCAAACACCGAGTGGGGGGCTTGTTTTACAACGTCGTTGCCAAGCGACGAAAACCCAAACCCCGATGGCAAACACCGGGGAGGGCGGGCTCGGGGGGGGGGGCAAAAATGAGGATTTGACAAGCGATCGGGGGGGTGGAGTGCAAAGGCTACCTGCTTACCGGTTACAATTTTGGCAAGGTAATCGCTCCGACAACACCACCGCCACCACCACCACCATCAACTTCGGTTCTCGGGCACACCTGATATAGTCCTCTTCGTCTGCCCAGAAGACCTTGATGATGAACCGCTTTATGATCTCCCCCGGCGAGCTCAGGAACTTGTTCTCCCCCACCTTGGCATCCTTCCGCTTTACCGCATCCCTCATGTTCGATTCGCCTGTTTCCCATCGCCGGAAAATAACGGCAGCAGCAGGAGCAAACACACGCTTCGCCTGTTTTTCATCGCCGGCCACAAGAATGGCACAGCAGCAGCAAAACACACACACGCACCAAAATGGCAACCGCGCACACAAAAAAAACAAAAAACGCAGCATGGTGGGGGGAAGAACCGATAGAATAACCCTGTTCTCCGGAGAGAGGAAACAAATATGGAGTAGACTATACATAAAATCTCAATAAATATCCCTGGAATCATCCCTCTTCTCCACGGCGCCCTCTCGATTGAGAACTCAGTAGCAGTAAACACGATAGAGTGTGAGTACCCCCGCCCCCCCGCCCCCCCGGTGTTTGCCATCCTGGGTTGGATTTTCGTCGCAGCGCACCCTTCATGCGACTCGCCGAATACCTCACGGCGCTTCGCGCTTGGTGATGTGAGAGCCTGGTGAGGGCCAAGCGTGCTCCGTCCCGGCTTTGTAGGGATGCGAGGTCAACCGTCTAACGACTACGGCATGCACGACTATGAGTACCCCCCCCCCCCCCCCCCCGAAGGGTGGGCCCTTGGAGCTGGGTT